TTGACCCTCAACAAGAGTATGCGGAGAATATGGAATCTTTCCAAGAGTCTAAGAAAAATTCGGCTGACATAGTAGAAGAATATCGAAAAATGTTCGCCGACATACAAAAGACTCCAACATCAGATGAAAATATTCAGCATAGAATGGAAGAACTGAAAGAAAGTGTACGCAAATACAACAATCCTTTTTACTTACGACCATATAACGTTCAATCTTTGGCTGAACTCGGTGAAAATAAAAGGTTAAATTTCACCAAAACATATAGAAATGAAACATTGTTTAAAGTTCATTCAGAACCTAACCAATATGGAAAACTACTTTTGTTTCTGCAGACTATGGAACTACAATGAGATGGGGTCATAAAGCTAATCCGGATAGGTGGTTCATAAACTTACAACACAATTCCAGAAGTTGTAGACGCAATGGAAGTGAATGGTGAACCAGATATAGCTGGTATTTTCAGCGCGGCTTTAATGCCATTGAAAGATATGAAAACATGCAGATATTTTGGACCAGTATGAAATGAACATGGCTGATGGAAATATAACACCTGACGTTCTAGAACATTTATCTCAAAGAACTACACAGAACCATAGAGATGGTATATTTGGTGAAGAGTTTAGAAAGAAAGTTAGGGAGAGAGAAGGAAGAGAACCTATTGTACATGACCTTGCAAACGAAAGTTTACAAAATGTCATAAAAACTTACTTTGCAGACAATGAACCGAGAAGGGATGAATATTTAAGAAAACTCAAATGGACAGTACCAAATGAAATGTTAGTATTGAAAAACATGTTCCTTGACAAAATAAAACCAACTACAGAAATAAATGACGCAAGACTGAAACATTGGGTAAAAGCTTTCCCATTCACAAAAGATATTATTGGTAACATGGAAAGAAAACCAGAATGGCTACAAAAACATATATTTTGGAAACGAGCTTATTCATATGGACAAGCTCTGTTTGAAGAGCTTGAACCGGAAACTCAGGAAAGAGTCATGCAAACAATAAGCGAAGACTCAAATACAAACTATGACAAAATCTTTCTAGGATATAGGTTACCTGAGATGGGCGACCAGAGCCCAAAGGCAAAAAGGACATGGGAAATTTACAACATACTAGGTGAACATGAGGCAAAGATGCAACAACTTGAAGCAGAGGGCAAGTTACCAAAAGCGACACCAAAGAAGAAGAGAAGAGTAGAACAAAGTGAAAGTAGTGAAGAAGTAACTCCATCTAGTGAAAGTAGTGGCAATGAAGGAAAAAGAAGAGTTAAAAACTCAGCCAGGAAGAAAGTAAAGCTTGGTCCACGTGGGTTCTATTATGACACATAAATCCAACTATTCTATATTTTTACCCATATGAAATGTACGCCGCTCAGAATTATACGCCAACAGTTTTGGATGCCATGAACGGAAATGTTTCCGAATGGTATAACGAATGCGACAATGCCATTAGAAGGTCAGAAATAGTTCCTGGAACTTACGAATATACAACTGCTGTTTCTTATGGAAACGTAGGTGAGTTTGGAGAAGGTTCTTCAACAACAGTAGATATTGCTTGCGACAGGTTTCATATTATTTTCTATTGACAACTCATTCTTATTACGTGGAACAAGACATTGAAATAAAACCTTCTGCCAAGTTGTCTGACAAGAAAGGTTGCAATGGAATTTTCTATGTCGGATACCAATATGCTCCGGAAGTTTTCATGGGATATAAGATATATTCTAACTCTGACTTAGTTCAAACAGTAACATGGGCAAACTATGAATGGTTCGCTTTGAGAAACTCAGTACAACCACAAGCGAGAGAACAAACAGACCAGTATGCAACTATTGAGAAAATAAGAAGACTTGACCTAACGTTCAGGAGTTTATGTTAACCTTTCTGGTTCAGATGGAACTGCTGCCACTAAAGTAAAACTGAAACTTAGAGTTCCTTTGTCATTTTCCTCATCTTCAGGTTTTAAGATACTTGCCAAACTGGGCAGGAAAATTTCTATCGAACTTACTCCAAGAAAAAAACTTAGTCATTGCACAAACAAGACCCATTCACTATTACAGACGTAAAGGGAACAAATCAAACGTCATTCGCTGAATTTTGCAAAGACAAAGTTGACTTAGACTTTGGTTTCTCAAACTTCAACAATGAAGTAAACTATTATTTCAATGCTGCTGGAACTGCTTGGGACCCAGTTAAGTTTACATGCGAAAAATTTGAAATGCAAGAGAATAGAAAGCAGACTTGCAGTCTATATGTTGGACCCAGATATTTCAAATGCTTTAGCTGCCAAATATATTGCAGTTCCACTTATGTTCCCTATACACCAATATCTGTCAAAGACTTTGCAGGTGAAGTTGGAAACCAAAGTGCTGACCCAGGTGCAAGAACAGATATTGCTTTAACAACTGCAATGAAACATGCAGATACTATGTTTGTACTGTTCAGACGAACTATAAATGACTATTCTTGTTTCTACAACCTGGTATTAAATATCATATAAACATAGATGGCAAATATTATCCAAGAGAAGAATATTCTACAGTTGAGGATATGAGGTCATACAACTTGACATTAGATGCTATGAACTTTAACAACAACTTCACAACAACCATTAACCCTGAAATGCAAAGTTCTATTATGCCATATGTGAAAGTATGGACCCATACAGGAGGTCAAAAAACTCAATATACAAATGGAGACCGTTCAAACTTTTGGCTTGGCATTCCATTTGCTGACTCAGAAGACTTTATGGGTGGTATTTCAACTGTTGGTACTGTACAAATACAATATACTGGTGACAGAGACGGTCCAGATGAATTGAAAGCAAAGAAGTTTACAAAACCAATAGCACTTTTCACGGAAGATGCTCTTTTGAAGATTCGTTCGATGAAACCTGCCGGGGCTCCTCAGATTGGCATAACGACAGCTTCATCGAGCAGATTTTGGCAGCAGGTCAGTAAGTTGTTCTTGAACTGACTTCTCTCCGTCAAATATTGACAGTACGCCAGTTTTGACATAATATTGTATTATAAACTTTCCTTTAGAAATATCGGTCAGTTTTGTTGTTATATTTTTGTCTGCTTCAAGAACTTTCACCATTTCAGTTATACCAACTTTCTTTGCTTTATGGAAATATTTTGGTTCAGCAAATATTGCTATTCTATAACATTTACCATTGTTTGTATAAAGAACTATTCTGTCAATGTATTTGTATTGTTTGTGTGTGTAAACTTTGTTCTGCTTCAATTCGAAGAGATACTCGAATACGTCCATCTTTTTATTCTAAGTAAAATGTCATTTCCGAAAAATAGAAGCGTAAGTGTTTCAAAAGGTTTAATGGCGGTGGCAGATGTGAAGTTAAATTCACCAACTCAAACAAACAGTCAAAGTGTTATTGTCATGTCAAAGACAGAGATGTTGAAGTGGGGAAACCATACGAGGACGAAGATGGTAATAACAATTGTTCCTGTAAAAGAACAACCAACATACCCTGAAGTTAGCAGAGACTTAAGTTCTGTTGCAGATATTCGAAACGACTACCAACAACTGAAAGACAAACTTCAAACTCAGGAGAAGATTTGTCAAGCTTTAAGTATAATGTTAAACTTGGTCGAACACAACCCTGTAAAAGTGAACTCATATGTCATTGCACCTCATGAAGTTTTGAAAGAACTATTGAAACTTTTGACAGAGGCAGACGATATAAACATCAAAGAAATAGAACCCGACATTAGTTGCTGTGGTGTTTCATATAATGTCATTGACAAGATATACGTTATGAAAGGAGGTGAAACGTTGAACTTAAAGTATAGTTTCCCAGACGTCATAAAAATATTTGACGACCACAACATTTCATTAAAATTTATTTGCTAAGTAAAATGTCAAAACTTCTTGAAAGATGTTTGAAGAAAAATAATATAGACTTTATTTCATGTAAAGGACTTTACACACTTTTGAACGATATGAAAGACCCTGTTTTGTTTGTTCGTGTAGACAAAGGAAAGTTCTATGTCTTTACAAAATATTTGAACTTCTTAGACAGAGAACTTCAAGAAACCCATGTGAAAGTTTAGATGAAGTTCTTCTCCACTTTCAGAAAAACTTTTAAATATATATAAATGGCAGAAGACATAATGGTTTATACTATTACGACTAAAAACCCCGAGTCATATAATTCTATAACAACAAACTTACAAAGTCCTCAAGGACGATATTGTAAACTAACCTTAAACACAATGACGACTAAAGCCTGTTTTGCTCTTTTGACACCAGAAGACTTTATTGTTGTGAATGGTAAAAAATACTCCTTTGAAGATACTTACTCAGATATACCACCAACAGGTTTTGTTGACTTATTTAATACTTTAAGTACAGGTGTAACATGTGCTGCAACTAGAGCAGGTTTCATTATGTTTGGATGTCCGACTGAGTTTACTATAAACGATATGAGCTATAATACAAAACTTATTTCTGGTTTTTACTACCAACAGTTTCCTATACAGGAAAAGGTGTCATACAAGGAATGTCTATTCCATTGACATTAAGCCACCAATCTTATATATTGTTTCAAACTTAGGTTCAAAGTGTTATTCGAATGTTGACAGAAACTATTATGACCAAAAGATACTTATGCGTATAAACAATACTTTCTCTGCTGGTTTGCCTATTGTTCATTCGAATGCAGAATTTCAACCTTAGTGAACTCAAACACTTTGGCAAGTATAACGTTGACATTAGTTGACGCAAACTTTGTTCCTGTAAAACTTTTATGTCCTATGTATTTGTCAATGACGGCAGAAAGTTTCGAATTGGAAGATGCAACTGGTGAAAGTATTGTATTACAAGAACAACTTCAACAACAAATAGCTCAAGAACAACAAATGCAACAAATGCAACAACAAAGTCAAGAATAAAAAAAAATATTTTTTTTTATTTTTATAAAAATGTACAGAATAGATGTTTCAGATTTTTATGACTTCCAAGCATTCAGAAATATGTGTCCATTTAGAGACTATAACAAAGCAGTCGAGAATTTGAAACGTTTAGTCATTTATGTTGACTCTGCCCCAGAATGTTATGTCATGAAAGAATGGGATGTTGTCTTTAACAAACCAAGAGCAACAATAGTGTCTGAACAAGAATGTAGACAGAAACTTAAGAAAATAAAAGTTGTACAAGTTGGCATGAAGATGTTAGATGCTTGGGATATCTTATTGTCAAAACTTGAAGATTTTTCAGTTCGTGGTATAAAGTTTTATACACCATCTCCAAACTTCTATTCTATCTTCACTGGATATAAATACGAACAAGTAGAATGGAAACACAGTATTATAGAAGCTTGGTTAGACCATGTCAAAGAAATTATATGCAATGGAAACGAAAGAGTCTATGAGTATATCTTATGTTGGTTTGCAAACATCTTACAACATCCAAGTGCTAAAAATGAAACTGCTCTCATTATAATTGGAAAACAAGGAACAGGTAAGAATACTTTCTTTACAGATATTTTGTGCAAACTGTTAGAAGGTTATTCGAATCCGAATATGACAAACTTAGAAAACATCTGTGGCAAGTTTAACTCCTCAATAGAGAATATGAAACTTATAGTTTGCAATGAACTTCAAAGTATAGATACAACAAAAGTTTTGAACTCAGATGCTTTGAAGAGTCTTATAACAGACAAAGTTGGAGTTGTTGAAAGAAAATATAAAGACCAAAGAGTTTGTGAAAATGTTGCAAACTTCATTATGGTTTCAAACAATGCTGTTCCGATGAAGTTAGAAAGTTCTGACAGAAGATATGTAGTTGTCAGAACGTCAGATTCTCATATGCAAGATACAGAATATTTTGACGACTTAGCAGAAACTTTGACATCTGACTTTTACAACCACTTGTTCTCATATTTTATGACATTAGATATTTCAAAGTTCAATCCAAGACAAATTCCACATACCGAAGAGAGACAAACATTGTTAGAAGCAAACAAGAGTGTATATGAACTGTTCATAGATGAAACTGACTTTGTGTCATTAGATGAAAGGTCATTGTACGATTCGTATAAACAATATTGTCAAGAATATGGTTATATGACAGCGTCTAAACGAACATTCTTGGCAAATGTCAAAAGTCTTTTAGACGTACAGAATGGTGTATATACAAAGAAAAATTTTTATGAGTAAATTTAAAAAAAAATATTTTTTTATCCGATAGAAAAGATGACGAAATTCATCTCAGTAAACAAGTACATGTCAGGACTTAAAGAAGAACTAGACCCATTCACATATTTGAATGTTTACTTCTACCATTTTGAAAAGTCTTCATTCAGCAAAGTTTGGAACATCGAACCAGTTAAGTTTGCTATTGTGACTAAAAATGGTGCGAAATTTGAAGACTTAGACATAGAAGGTTTGTTAGCAGTCAAAGAAAGTTTTGACAGAAGGTTTTCAAACCTTAAAGAAGGCAAAGCATACAAACTTGTTATACCTTATGAACCAAAGAAAGCAGACGACTATGAATATTATGAGTCTAAGATAGTTGAAGTTCAAGGTAAATTGGGTAAAAAGATTTTAGAGTCTAAGCCAGTGTTTGCTCCTAAAGAGGAAGAGAACATTGACATTGACCCAGAAATGTTCTAAAAATAAAATTTTATTTTTACATGTCAAATTTCTTTTTCTCTGGAACTGGCTCGGGTTCTTTCTTCTCTTCTTCTACTTTCTTTTCTTTCTTTTCTCTCTTCTTCTTTTCTGGTGGAGTTATGTCAAATTTGGCGCAACCATATTTATGTAAAAGTTCTTTGTCTTTAATAGCTCTTCTATTCTGTTTTCTATTTCATCTTCAAGAACAGCGCATGTGTCTTCTTTGCATTCTAAGAACTTTTGTTGGACTTCATCTTCCAATCGGCGTCATCTCTGTCAACAAGTCTGTCATTGACAAATTTTAAGACTGCTCTGCTTAATGTTTTATGGTTCTGTCATATTCCCAGAAACAGAACTTTAGAACAAATTCCCTTTCTTGTTTACACTATGTAAGATTTTATGGTCTACAGATGTTTTGCTGTCAAAAAGTTTGTCTCGAATATAGATAGCGAAATCGCTAGACATTTTCTAAAGATAAAAATTTTAATTTTTTCTAAAAAATATGTTAGAAAAAAAGTTTGCTGACATTGACAAAAAAATTGAGAATGTTTTAAATAAGAACAAGAGGAAGTTGGAAAATGCTCAGATAAACCCATACATGACAAGTTCTTATTTGCTCAGAATGTATAACAGGTCTAATTGCACCACCTGGGTCGGGTAAGACTTCACTTATCTTAAAATGGCTGCACAACAACAAGAACTAGATGAGAAGAACCCATTCTATGAGTTAGTTGTCATTTGTAGTACTTCGGGTCAATTTGACCAAACCGTCAATTCGTTCAAAGATATTATAAAGAAGTCTAAGTTAGTATGTATAAAAGACTCTGAGTTGTTAGATTGATAAAGAAGTACCAAAGAAGGGTTTTGAAGTATATGCTATAAATGAGTATGTCAATTCGAAGTTTAAAGACCCAAATGAGGAAATGCAGAGAATATTAGAGAAGAAAACACTTCAGAAACAAACAGAAAGAGATAGAATACATTTCGAAGAAATTGCAATCTTACGATTGGAAAACGTACCCTCATAGATGTCTTCTTATCTTAGATGACTTTGCTTGTCATCCTTTGTTAAAGAATAGAGAACAAGACATGTGTCGAATTCTTAAGAAGCTCAGACACTTTAACATTTCAGTTGTCATTTGTGTACAGACAGCCAAGAGTTTAAGTAAGGATGTAAAGAGAATACTTACTGACATTGTACTTTTCCCCGGATTGTCGAAGACGATTCATGGAACTTATGAAAGAGTCCATGGCAGGTAAGTTGACAGACATGAACTATGGGAGAAGTACAAAGTCATACAAGACCCTCATACTTCTTTCAGAATTCATATCTACGCAAACAAAGTTCAAATTGTAAAAAGTCAAGCGTAAAAAATAAATGGTTCATCTACTCTACTTGTTTGAAGTTGTCAAAATACTCTTTTATTTTTTCCTCAGTAGCGGTAAGTCTTCTTTGAAGGTAAGAATTGTACAACCTTTAATATCATAGTGTGTTTGAGGTAACGTATCTTGAACTATTTGTTTCACATCTTCATTTGGGGTCATTGAAATCGGTAAGTTTTCGCGATAGAACCAATTTCTGTCAGATTTGTAAATCTTAGCAAGGTCGTAAAAGCTTTTGTTGTTTCTTCTGACTAAATGCAACATAACCATATCTCTGTCTTCTTCTTTCTCCAACTCTTCAGTATAAATCATATACTTATAGTTCTTTTCCTTACCTTTTGGTACCGAACGTGGTATTCTTTTCTGAATGCTTTTGTCTTTTGCTTCAATGACTTCATCTTTTGCTTGAAGTTTCTTTTCCATCTCTTCACGTTCTTGTCTATGAATTTCATCTAACATCATGAAAATATAACAAGCATAACGAGGTGAAGCCCACATTGCAACAGCATTTACAAGAAGTCTATGTACATACCAGCCTCTCAAACCATTTGACAAATTTTTACGATTTTCGTACGGAATCTCGACCCTCGGTTTTTCGAGGGTCGCAAACATATGAGGAAATTCTTCTAAAAGTTCTTTTGTCTGTTGGTTTTCAAACCAATGATATGCTTGCTTTGTAGAAAGAAGAGCATTCAAAATACTTTGCATTTGGTACATATCGTCTTTGACCGAACGAATGAGACGTAACTGTTTGTTAAACTGAACCCACTCGTATTCTTCATTTATAGCTTCATGGACTATAACTGTTGTTGTGTTCTCTGTTGTTGACATATCTGTCTTTACATACAAAATAAAAAAAATAAATAAAATAAAGTTAGTTTTATTTTTTTAAAGTTTGGTCATCCTTCACTATATGACAAATATACTATATTTTACTTAAAAATATGCAAGCGGCTCATAGCTCAGTGGTATGGGCTACCTCGTTACAGGCGTCGAAGACATCGGTTCAAATCCCGATTCGCGCAGGTTTTTTCCTTTTATGCAGTGAAATTTCATGTACATAGGTTACTTTGGTGTTAGACCCTAGTGAAGAAAATAGAACGATATAAGTTTACATTTGTAAGGTTACTTTGGTGTTAGACCCTAGTGAAGAAAATAGAACGATATAAGTTTACATTTGTAAGGTTACTTTGGTGTTAGACCCTAGTGAAGAAAATAGAACGATATAAGTTTACATTTGTAAGGTTACTTTGGTGTTAGACCCTAGTGAAGAAAATAGAACGATATAAGTTTAAATTTGTAAAGTTGGACGATAAAAATCTCTGCTACTGTCAGTAAAAGTACTGCTACTGTCAGTAAAAGTACTGCTACTGTCAGTAAAAGTACTGCTACTGTCAGTAAAAAGGAAAATTTGAGAGGGTTTTCGACGATAAAGTACTGCTACTGTCAGTAAAAGTACTGCTACTGTCAGTAAAAGTACTGCTACTGTCAGAAAAAGTACTGCTACTGTCAGTAAAAGTACTGCTACTGTCAGTAAAAGTACTGCTACTGTCAGTAGCAGTACTGCTAGTAGCAGAGATTTTTATCGTTGTGGTCCGACGGTTAAGCCACAAACGAATGTCCGACGAGGCAATTTACCTAATTGAAATTAACAAGCTTGTTAAAGACTTCCTCAGGCAGAATGTAAAAGGCAAGCTTGTTAACGGTTAGAAACCGTATAGAACCTTCATTTTTTTCCTCAAAAATAATGTTTATGTTAGAATATTAGAAAATAACATTTTTTCTAACATAAGCGTTTTACATGGTAAACGTTATTTTTTAAATTTTGTGAAAACTCAACGGTTTGACACATGTCCTAAAAATTATTTTACTCAGAATTTTATACAGAATTCGGCAAAAATATATTTTAGGTGAAGAGGTGAGATCTCACCTGTTTTTTCACCTGTTTTTTCACCCGTTGAATTTTCATGAATTTCCTTAAGATAGAAAAAATAAAGTTAGTTTTATTTTATTTATTTTGTATAAAAAACTAACTTTATTTTCTGACTTTCACAAAAGACCAAAAATAAACGCTTTACATGTATTTTTCAGCAACTTCATCAAATAATTTTATAGCTTTATCTATCTCATCTACTTCAAACGTTTCTTTACCTTTCGTGGGAGCACCATACATTTTCTCAAACTTTTCAAGTAGTTCTGTTTCAGCAGCTCTCATATCATTAACAAACACAACCTTGACTCTATTGACTGTACTGTCATATCTTTGAGTTATATTATATGTTCTTCCTATCTTATATCTCTTTGTATTGAAGTCCTTCGGTTTCTGAACGATGTAAAGTAAGCCTTCACTGCAACGTTCCGTATCGAATGAACCATATGTTATGAAGTTATATCCAACAACTGGGTCTAACCATAACAAAACTATTGGTATAAGACTTTTGTCGATGAGATATGCTGCAGTTCCATAGAATCTTACCGATATCATAAGCTCAGGATTTCTTGTCAAAATTTTCTGAGTTGAAGCAATTCCAACCCAGTCCTTCGGTTTCCTTCCAGATGGAGATAAAATGTCTGACAAAGAATATTTGTTGTATTTCTTTGAGTATCTTACGTTTAAATCACCTATTCTAACCACTTTGGTGTCATTGTCTATCTTTCTAACTGTTTCAAACTCAACCTTTAACATTTTCTGTCTTTACATACAAAATAAAAAGTATTTTTTTAAAAAAAC